AAAATCCAAATCTTGTTCTTTACCCTGACTGAGTCAGTGCAGAAGATTTCCGAACTGGTTTCAGGTTGATGAAGGCGTGCTGATCTTGCTTTTCCGATTCTGACTGGCTTTGACATCTTCATCCCTTCCACCTATAGTTGAAACGATGCTTCCTAGATACGTAAATGAGGTAAACTCTGTTAGATCTCCCGTTGACGGTGATTGGTGCTGGTTGTTGTTGATTGGTTATTTTCACTACCTCCGTCTTCTCTGTGTTCACCTAAAGTCCTGTTTTCGCCGGCTTCTTCTTCAGCCAGTTTGTTGGTTTTCGCTTGCAAGTCTCCGAGTTTGTGTCACATCAGACATATATCATTTGAGAAATCCAGATCTCCTAGTGTCTTCTTATCAGTCGTCTGGCGTATTCCTAACTCCTCACCGCCAGCAGTCTGACACATAATCCAGTCCAACACAATTAAGAATATCATCGATGATAATAGGCAGCCAGCTTGTCTTACTCCTATATGCACTTCAAACGCCTCGATGAGTTTCCGTTGTGGATCACATGACATGTGCCATTGTCATATAGCCAGTTGTTGAATGAAGTTGACAAAGACTTGAGGCATGCCGAAGTGTTGAAGTAGTTTCCAAATTACTTCACTGTCAACTCCATCTGGTGAAGGCCTTTTCGAAGTTGATGAAGTTGAGGTAGAGGTTTAACTGCCATTCTGTGCTTTGTTCGATGATGATGCGTAGAGTTGCAATAGCTGGGGATTAAGAAGATCCGAACAACACTATGCCATCAGCAGACGAACGGTTTGACAAAGAAATAACCGTTCACTGAAGAAATGGCTGACCTCAAAGGGAGGTAATTAGGAGACGGGGTTTCCATTGATTCTACTGGTATGTCGTGCTTCCACCCAGGAAACAACAAAGAAGTTACCTTTTCAGTTGATTCATGGGAGGAAACCAACACTACTAGTACACAACATGATCTGGTCCCTCCAGCAAGAGTGGAGTATGACAAAGCCACAAACGGAACAGAAAGAAGCCATCAGGAAAGTAAAGCATAAACAGAAGACGAACGCCACGAAATGTGAACAGAGAGGAAAGATGGAAGCTGGAGACCAATTAAAGTGTAGAGAAAGAAAGTGCATGACAGGATGCAAGCAGGGAAGGACTGCCACTGAGAAATATGGGCCTGTTTATGCCATTCAGCGTTGAAAAAAATAAGAATGCATTTACGCCAGCTAGTGCCAGAAATAGATATAGTAGGATGAGAAAGCTGTTAAAAACACACAGCAGGAGTGGTCAGCACTGAGAAAGTCGGAGTGGCTATACTCAAAACAACTTGAAGGGAGGTGAGTGTAGCGTGCACTAATGACGAGATTTATAAGTAGTATACAGACTCAGACATAAATATGTATATCATCTGCAAAAAATACCGAGTAGTGAAAAAATAGATTTAACGGTATAGAGAAGAAATGAACGATGTTTGTGAATCAACAAAGAAAAAGTGAAAAGGAAGACAAAGAAGCACAATACGGGAAGCATGTGCAGATTGCGATTTTGATAAATGGTAGACGTATTTTGCCTATATTTGTACATCCAGTTGCCTATAAATAATTCCGTTGCCAAGTACTCTTGTGTTCTGCAGTTACAGTAGTACTAGTAGAATTATTATTAGTAGTTGGATTAGTAGTCGTATTAGTAGTAGTCCAACAACTCAGGACCATCCCCAGATAACCAGCACAACTGAGGATGTGTTTAGTTACCAAGTTTGGATGTGTGTCATGAAAACAAAAGTTTATCCATTAGCCGAAGACAGTATAATAGATAGTCTAGTTAGCTATTTCAATTATCTATTACTATTGACATTTATGTGTGACATTTTTTCTTGAAAAAAGGAGAAGTTATGTCAGAATTTAAATTCTGACGTTTAAAGTCACAGATACAAATGCAATTTTGTCGTCATTTAGTTTCTCTCCTGTTTTTTTTCTGGTTTTACTCTTCTGTGCATGTTTCGCATTGAAAAATTATGCTTTCAACATGTCAAATCTTGGCATGAGACGTGTCTGTAGTCATTTTTTCTCCATGTATGTGTCTTAAATCTATAATCGAAGAATTATTAGTCAATATAAATAAAAAGAAAATTGGTGATAACTTAACTCTTTTCAGGAGTTAGTTTGTAGGGATTTGATTTGTTTCATTTCGGACCACTAACTGATATCGGTAAGAGAACCCATGAAAACTAGAAAGTACTGGACATCCAACTGTTTCGTCGTAGTTTGGCATCCATCGGCAGTACGCATCCAGGGGAGTTCGAACTTATGACCATCTGGTTACAAGGCAGGCCCTGCTTGGTGGTTCCGCTAAAACCACGAATTGATAGAAGTTAGAACTCATGGGCCATTAGGTCACAGTGGGTTAGGACCTCGGTAGGGGCACAATGTCAGTGAGTGTCGAACCAGGATGAAGTAGCTGTCCAGCAATCCCTGATAATCAGTGGTTCCGTAACTAATCTCAAGTGGTGGTCAAAACTGAAGCTGAACTCTCTATCAGTGGAATTCATGACTAGCGTGACATGACCCATCTGTGTGTGGATGTGTGCATTTCTTGACTGACGAGTCATATAGATAGGAGGAAACACACTGCCTAAGATTATGCTGACAGCGAAACTCACAATTCTAGACTAAATTTTCACTAGACATTTCTGCTTATAAACCTGCAACCACACACATACACATAAATATGTATACAACCTATGTACTAATGAAAAGAGAAAGATAAGTTATAAAGTAATCAAAATCTAATGTTTCCCAAGTAGATTACAGGAATCGAATCACTGAGTAATTGAAGACCTTATCTAGGACTGACTTAGTCGTCGATGTCTACTAAGAAAAAGGAATCTTTTTCTTGCATGAGAGTTCCGAACGGTGCGAAATTCTAACATCTAGAATCAAGTTAGTCATTTTAAAGGCATGCAGATAGAGTGAGGATAGTTGAAGTCTCCAGATGTTTAGGCGGACATACGCTGAATCATTCTTGTTGTTTCAGTTATCAGTTTCTCTCTCCACCCTGTTACATTAGATTTTACGGCTGTCATCTAGCCTCGTCCTACTGTATGATCATGTGTAACTGCACAACGTGCTACAGTTCATCTTTATTCTCATCTTTTTATCATATTAGGGTCTGCTAGTGTAGATTTTTGCCGGGTATTTGCTCTCCACTAACCCACCTGACCGTGGTCTACCGATAAATTTGACCTGACAGACACTGCAACCTATAAGATATACTAAATTATTTTGTTTCGTGGCATCCATGGGATACTTAAAACTACATAATTTGTTTCTAGGTAAGTCTGTGATTTTGAATGCTATTTATTTCATGCCTTATAAAGAACTCTACTCAAGGGTTCAGAGTGCTGTCATCATTCTGTATATGTTTTTCATTCACGTCGTCCAGCTTATCACTACAATTTTTCTGATTAATTCATTGGAATAATTATTAATTGTCGAATCTGCTACTATATGTCCTACTTCCTGCTGTAGATTTTCCTCAGCACCGTTTATTTGTATGGCTGTGTTACTTAGGCTTTTCAGTAATCCTGTTTTCACTGACCTGGGGTAGAATTAATTGAAATCTAAATACCGGTTTGATTGTGTGGGCTTTCTGTGGATACTAACGCCTAAATTCCACTTTATTATCTTTTTTTGATACAATTCAACTTTTCGTCTTACAAGTTCATTGAAATGCCTCTACCACTGAGTCGATACACTCAAAAGATCTATTCATATCCTGTAAACTTGTCATCAACACACCTGGTGTGAGGTTGAATATTTCAGTCGTTAAATTTTTTACCTATCCATGAATGTATCTTACACAATCGAGGAAATTGGTGACTTCGTAGAAAATCCCATTTTGTCCGAGTTTTACCTGCATATATATATATATATAATTAAGCTACTGAAATCTGGGAAGGCAGAAAGACCGGATGGAATTCCCTCTGGAACACTTAAGTGGATTCAAAAACCGTACTAAATATCCTGACGCTACTATTGCAAAACGTTTGGAAGTAAAGAAAGGTACCCACTGACTGGAAGAAAGGCTACATTGCTAAACTGCCAAAGAGGGGCGAATTAAGTCTCTGAAATAACTGGCACGAAATAGTGCTCTTGTCCACGGCAAGTAATATACTAAGTCGCGTCATCGTGGGGAGAATAAAAGAGGCACTGGATACAGAACTCCGCCCAGAACAAGCTGGATTCAGGAGAAGCAAACCACGTGCTGATTATATTACAGCTCTACACATCATCATCGAACAAAGCATGGAACGGCGATCAAATCCATACCTCAGCTTAATCGATTATGAAAAGGCCTTTAGCAGCGTTGACCGGAAAGTAATTTAAAAACTATTTCAACACTGAAGGGTGGGTAACTTTAAAGCCAGGCTACCCGTACTCCACACAAAACGCCATCGCTAATAAAATTCCCAAGCTCAGACCTGACGCGTCACCCTCAGAATGCGAAGAGTTGAAAACACTGGAACGAAAGTTATGATGTCATATTATCTAACTCAGTTCGCGTTGTTCTTGCTTTTCATTTATCAAGTTCATCTTAAGGGAAAGAATTGTATGAAAAGGCTTTAAAATTGTTCATCTTTACAGAATTTTCAAGTCTTATTTAGCTAAGAGGGAATTCCGGTTATCCAGGCGACGTTCAGTGCAACCCAAATCTCAGCTGGTCCTGAAAGAAGTATGAATGACAAAAGCAGGAAAATACTCTTTGTAAACACTGAACTCGCTCACCTCCTCTACCTCCCTACATACCTCGCTAAGATCTGATAACTGCTTTATGAATTGATTATTTCATGACATCAAAGAATTGAAGTGTAGCGCAATTTTCGGTGTGTTACTAGTTGTTGCACACGCTTACAAGTACGCATACTTACTTATTTGCTTATGTATTTTCGAAAGTAAATAAACTGAAGAATGTGAGAAGAAATAAATGTATTACTGACTTACCCTATTGTTTCTTCTTGTCTTGTTGTTGTTGTTCCTGATGTGGATGGTGGTAGTGGTGGTGACAGCTGAACTTTGATTTCACCGCCATTCCAGAAACGGATTATACACTGATTTTTAAGTGATTGTTTTGAAACACTGTCCAACTGTTGACAAGTATTGCGTTTTCGTATGTGTGTGTGTTTGTGTGGTTTTTGAAGAAACAATAAAAACAAAAATAAAATCAGAAAATGACATTTATCTTTGATACATCTTTCTTTTAAGAAGTCAAACAGTCGAAAAAGGACACTTAGCAAAAAACGGAATGTGTTAATGGTGTCCTCGCTAATCACCAGAATCATGAATTATTCTCAAGACAGTATTCCGTGTTGTGCTTCCCTGCTTCTACAGTATTGTAAATTGAGGTGGAACAATTGCTCAGTGTTCTGAGTTTTGTGGTGATTTGTCCGCGTAGACTAACTGTTACAGCTGGTTGACCTCGTAATCTGAAGGTATTGGTTTTCATTCTTGGTGGTGTTATCGGTGAGCAATAATAACAATGTGCTGTACTCCAAAGTAGTACTTATGATACAATTTGGAATTCTTAGCATTTTGTACAATATTTCATATAATTTACTCACAACAACAAGAACATTACAGGATATAGGGAGCCAAAATTGATAATTGTGACTCTTCGTCATAAGCAGGAACAATAAAGTCAAAAATGTACAAAAAGTATAAAGGGATGATAACAGTGTTAATAACTAAAATTATAAGATAACTGAAATAGTGTCACCATAAACTACAAATCGAAGAAGATAAAAGAGTCATTTATCATGCTAATTACATAGGAAGCTGTAGGTTTTACGCCTAACACTAACTTTGTCAAACAGAACGCCGGTTGGTTAAGTAGGATGTGGTGCAGTTTTTGTACTTAGTTGTGAGAGCATAAAATCTTTTATAATGATTTCTAGTCCTACTTGACGAAATGCAAAGAGAGAGTTGTTAACAGAGAGGCTGATGAGAGTCAGACAGTATGGATTCAGACCATTTCTCACATGAGTTCAGGTAGCTATCTATCGGAAACAGCAGTAACGAGGTGACTTAATGGAACAGAACTTGCCCTACTGACAACCTTTAATACCATTTGCAATTTGACATGGCCTTTTTTGGGCAGTTCAGGAGAGACTAAAGAGGGGCAATAAAAAACCATAGGTAAGATGTGAGAGTTAACATATTGTAATAGTAGACGCTGAATGATTCTTGACTGTCATAACTTCTTAATGTAGTTGGCCAGACGAAACATTTTCGAGTGGAGAGTGGTGGAAGTTAGAAGAAATAGTAAGTAAAAGTAAAATTCATCACAGATATCTTTAAAAAGAATTCAAAAGACTGGTTATTGGACAAAGAAAGTTATATACCCACAATAATTGAAGAAATATTGTTTTCACGAGGTGGTCCAACATAGAGCTATTAATGAATTTAACATTACCTTTATTTAAACACACTGGTAGGTGTCCCCGAAAAAGAAAAACTAGGTCCCTAGAACAATGTTGGATATAACTGGCTCCACGGGAGCAGTTGAACTGATAGATATAATTAGAGGTAGCTAGCCAAGATGCCTCATTTTTAAGTTGTGGAATCATAAGCGATGGTGTGGATCTATTTTGTCAACTTTATAGTTCATACATGTATTCCCCTTTATGAATTTGAATCAAGCTATGGGCAGTTCACTTAGCCCTGTTTTACGGCATGTCCAAACTTGAAAGTAGAAAGTTGAAGCATGCAATCGAAGAAACAACCTCTTATTGTCGATATGTCGATGAAATATTTGTAGTGTGTAACAATCAACGTCATGATTTCTACCTATTCAGATTACAAATATTGAATTTACTATGGAACATGAAAATGATGGAAAGTTCCACTTCCTTGACATTGCCATGCAATGCCTAGAAGATGGTAGTCTGCAGAGGTCAATTTACCGAAAGCCTACATGGAATGGACAATACTTACATTTTAATAGTTTTGTCCAAATAGCTTTAAACGAGCTCTAGTCAAGACTCCATATTATAGAGCTAAGAGAATATACTCTACAGAGAAATTAGAGGAATAATTTGTTTTTCTCGAAAAGAAATTGGAAAGCAACGTTTATTCTCAGAGATTCGTTAACAAGTATGGAAGATGTGAAGGCTTAATTGTCAAACAAATCACAGTGAGAAAGACGCCCATCTTCATTCATCTTGATTTTATAGGTGAAAACATTGCAACGATAGTCAACAGAAGATTGAGTATGCCACCAGCCAAAGCCTATCCTGCAGCAAAGTTGGTTCTAGTCTATCGGACAACATTCTCTTTGGTGCAATGAAAAGTCGACAGATACTCTTGTCATGTTAACTCCAACTGTGTATACAAATTTATATGTATTTGCGGAAGGAGTTTCATTTTGGGGAGAGAAAGAAGGGCATACCTCTGATTTTCTGAACATGTACCAAATGGCGTATGTCTCAAGGGAACAAATGCTTTCAAAAGTCCCATCGCCAGGCATTTCCTTGACATGGGTCATGAGATGGATGTCTCAAGATCGTTCAAAATTAGACTAAAGAGTTCAATGCTCCTTTAGTTTGCCGAAGCACTCTCCATCAAATGCCTGAAACCCGACTTATGAGTTCAAAAAGAAACGATTATCAGTCTTTCCTTGCCCTAGTGACTGGATATTTTCACCTTCCTTTTCATCTGATCACGTAATGTCGAAAGTTCCCATTGTGTATAGCCATTATTGTTCGGGATAAAGTGGTCATTATATGTATTATTATTGTATGCATACATTGACTTTTTGTTTAAAAATGAACCCTGTGTAAGTATGTTAAAATTGTTTCTGTCGATAAACTTAATAATGTCTTTGGGCTGTAAGCAACTGATGAGAAGCCAACGAAATAAATAATGTTACCATTTTATTTGGTAAAAACTGTTGTTCTTGCTTTATTTAAACTTTATGTTTAGTATTTCACTTGGTAGGGTGATTTGGTGGCATAGCGATGGAATGCTCGCCGATTACGCTGATGGTTCGGGGTTCGATTCCCGGTCGACGCACCCACTTCACCTTCCTAAGCCAGTTATAAGACCGGTAAAGATGGAAGGTTAGACATGAGGCTAGCAACCCCATCCCGTAAAAATAAACACCATTGCTACAGAAACTTCAAGCCTCTAGCTTGAAGCCCTATGTTCCATTGGAGACGTAAAAGAATAAAAAATATTCGTAATTAAATCAACCAGCATAGAGAATATATCTAGTTCAGGAATATTCTATGTTCATTAATCAATCTTTTAGTGCTTAGTTTATTTAAGATGTCAATTTTTCATTGGCTTCACTTATCTAGGTGTTACCTAGATCTTTCTCATTACTCAGAGAGTTCATGACGAATCTAATACAACTTTGATCAAACTAATAATGTCACTAGCTTCTTCTTAAAATGTGGGATCAGTGTTTACTTATTTCAAAAAAACGTACGGACTTTTAATGCAGTTTCGAATCCACGAAATGACTTTGCATAAAAAAGCATTGAGAATCAGAAGGGATCACTAGACAATTATTTCGTCCTATTTTGCCACTCTTCACAGCGCTAACCATTAACCCTACCTTCACTTTGTAACGCGAATTTGTTGAGCATTCAGGCACTGAGACGGAATCTAATGGCTCATGAATTCCAACTTCTGTCAGTCAGCAATTTTATAAAAGCAGCCTTGTTACCGGTCTTTTTGCTCCTCACACACTAACTAGCCCTTATTTGCTAGACACTAATGACAATTACCCTATCTGTACACAATAGTAAGCAAGCATCACTTTTTGCCATTTCTGGACAGCTAATACACGTCACTCTAGCCTGGACAATCAGCAGATGATGGATAACACAGTAAACCTTTGAAACAAACCCAGATTTCATGAATTTCTCTATTCTCTACCGTACTTTTGTTTGGATCAGTCAATCTTCATTGCATTTTCGTTTGCGTATATAGCCACAAACACACGTTTACTGTAAAGCAAGCCTTTCTTCAAATACATTTGCCAATAGCCTTTTCAAAGAATTAGAATTTATGTCATTTGGTCGACGGCAGCTGGCAGAAACGTCCACTGGGTGCATTTCTTGCTTCTTTGTGATCCTTCAGCTGGATTTATCTACAAATTTCCACTGGCTGGTGGTGTCTCCACTGACACTCAGATGGATCATCCGTCGTCTCATACACTAAAGCTCTATTCACCACTAGGCTACTAGGCCCATAGATCCACTTAACTTTGCAACAGATGTCAACTGTTCAATCTTTTTCGAAAACCAGTTTAAATTTCCAACTCCAATACAAATCAGTCAGCAGGAAATTCAAATTAATTGATTTAAACAAATAATATTTAGCTGTCAGTAAAATTCAGGCTGCACTGAAAAGTTGGAATAGAAACAATATCAATGGTCAACTATATTCCAACTCTGTCAAGATAGATGGATTCAATACTCACGCAATAAATAACTTTAAATTTGTTTCCTTCACCAAACTATATATATATATATATATATAATTACTATTTAACCTAGTGGCATAAATTTTTCAGACAGACAAAAAGAAGGAAGTTGACCAAAATGATACAGAAAGAATTTCACTTGATATGGCCTTTCATTTTCGACAACATGGTCGAATGAAGTTTTAGTTCCTCATTATTTTTCTTTTATTATGAGGGAGGTGGGGGGGGAATAGATTGAGGAAAGGATTTTTAATTACAAGATGGTCGGGATCTACGGGTTTGTGTGTATGCATTATTTCGCTTTATGCAGAAGAAGTCATGAATTAGTAGTTTGAATTTGGAATAACTAATAAATTGACAGTGACGCCTAACGAAATGTGTGGGTGTAGTATTATAGTCGGCTGATCGGTTGGTCAGATAATTATTAATCGGTTGGACTAATTAACCGATTAATTGCTTCATAGGTGCATAGATAGATAGATAGACAGACAGGCAGACTGTTTGACAAACTAATTTACTCACTTCAACAGAATTATATTTGATAAATTTAGCCTACATAATACTAGTAATAGTAGTTAGTTCATCCCGCCTTTGATATAGAAATGATAATGTATGATGATTAATAACTGGTTTATCAAGTGTTGGCTTGTGTGGATT